GGCACCGGGATGGAAAACGGGAAAACGGAGAGTGGGGAACGGGAGCGCCGGGAGTAGAGAACGGCGAGTCGGAACGGAGAACGGAAAAGCGGGGGGTTGGGAAAGGAAAAAGCGGGGGACGGATAACCGAGCGTCGGGATGGAAAACTGGGAACGGGGGTGAAGAATCGGGCACCGGAGAACGGGAAACCGGGCGCCGTGCACCGACTGGCGCTGAGAAGCGGGCACCGGGCGCGGAGCCCCTCCCGGCCCTGCAGTGCCTGTGAACGGTGCGGGCGGACCCCCCCCCCCTCTCCGGCAGGTGCCGGCCGGGGGTCCCGTTCCGACCCGTTCGGCCGCCTCCGGGCCCCGGGGGGACGGCAGAGGGCGGCCCGGCCCCGCGCTCACCTCGCCTCACCCCGACCCCCCCGGAGCGCTCCTGACTCAGAGCCCGGCGCGGCCGCTGCCCGGAGCGGGTGGAAAGTGTGAGCCGCCGCCGTGCGCTGCCAATGCAAACACCGCCCCGCAGACGTTATGTCAGCGAGGAGGGCGGGGGGCTCCGCTCCGGGCCGGTCCCCGCCTCTCCCGGTTCCTCCGGTGCCCCGGTGCTCGCTCCCGGTTCGTTCATCCCCGCCTCTACCGCCGGTACCGGGCACCTGCGGCCGTTCCCTTTTGCTTTTCCCGAGCGCAAAGCGATGCGCGGAGGCTGCATCTCCGTTCGTGTCCGTCCATCGTTCCGTCCGTCCATCGTTCCGTCCATTCACCTGCCTCACCTCCACCCAGCTCTAACCCTGCTGTCACCTGTCCGTCCGTCCGTCCGTCCGTCCGTCCCCAACCGCACCGCCGGACCCATCCCGGGGCTTCGGACCCATCCCGGGGCTTCGGAACCCGCTCGGGGTTCCCGCAGAAGCGGAGGCTTCTGAGGGGGGAAATCCGCCAAAAATCCCCTCCCATCCGCTGCCACCGAAACCCCCCAACCCGAAACCGTCCTCCCACGGCCCCGCCGCCTTCCGGGGCCCCGGGGGGCCGCCCCCCCCCCCCCCCCCCCCCCCCCCCGCACTCCTCCCTCATCCCGCACGGGGTCCCACCGCAGCCCCACCGCTTCCAACCGGAGGCAAAAGGTTTCCGTCTTCACTTCCCCATCCCCATCACCCCCCCCCCCCGCCCGTTCCCCCCCCGGTTCTTCCCGCACCTCCCTCCCGGGCCCCGAGGCCGCAGCCCCCGCCCCGTACGGCCCCGCCGCTATTTTTAAACCGCTACGTTATTTCGGTGCCCCGCGTTCTCGCTCCGCCGCACCGTTCCCTCCCGAAGCCCCGACGGCGCGGACCGCGCTCACCTCGTAGCACCGGGAACGGCTGGGGGCCGCGGAGCCGCCAGGCCCCTTCTGTGCCGGGCCGGCGGCGTGGCAGGAAGGACCGGGCGGTCATCTCGGCCCGGCCCGGCCGCCTGCAGAGGGCACTGCCGGTCCCCGGAGCGCAACGGAGCCCCCGGGTGACGGCACCGGGGCGGCCCCCGGTGGGGGGGGAAGGGGGGAGGTGGCGGCGGAACGCGGCGGGACGCGGAGCGTTTTGGTTGCCGGTGACACCGTTTATTGGAGTTATAAATAACGGATGCAGATCGGGTGCGGAGAGACGGAGGTTGGGGGGGGGAGGGGGGGAAGGGGGAAGGGGGAGCTGCCCCAGATGTGCTCATCTTCCTACGGTCCCGCTGCGCTCACCTGCCTGGATTCCGGCTGTGTTCACCTCCCCCCCCCGGCCCCGCATTCCAGCTGTGCTCACCTGCACCGCCTCGGATGCGCGTTTCTGCCCCCTCCTCCAGCTGTGCTCACCCCTAATTCCAGCTGTGCCCGCCCCCATTCCAGCTGTTCTCATCCCACCTTCCACCAATTCCCCATTCCAGCCGTTCCCACCTCATTCCAGCTGTGCTCACCCCTCGTTCCAGCTGTGCTCACCCCCTATTCCAGCTGTTCTCACCCCTCATTCCAGCTGTGCTCACCTCCTATTCCAGCTGTTCTCAGCCCTCATTCCAGCTGTGCTCACCCCCTATTCCAGCTGTTCTCAGCCCTCATTCAATCAATTCCCCATTCCAGCTGTGCTTACCCCTCATTCCAGCTGTGCTCACCCCCCATTCCAGCTGTGCTCACCCCTCACTCAATCAGTTCCCCATTCCAGCTGTGATTACCTCCATTCCTCAGCTTTCCTTCCTCATTCCGGTTGTGCCCACCTCATTCCACCTCTGCTCACCCCTCATTCCAGCCGCGCTCACCTCTAATTCCTGCTCTGCTCAGCCCTATTCCAGCTGTGCTCATCCCAATCCCCCCTCACCCCCTGCTCAGGAGCTGCCCCCTATAGACCCTCGCATTCCCTGCACTCCCACCCTCCTCAACTTCCTCCTTGTTCACCCTTTTACACAAATAACATAAATTAAACATGCAACGTAACCACGGAAATCATAATAACCAAGGAGAGATTAAATAACGCCCTGCCCCAGCCCCACACCCGGGCTTTGGGGGGGGGGGGGGTTGGGGGTCCCATGGGAACGCAGGGGCCCATAGATGGGGGTCGTGCCACCCCAACGGCCGCTCAGCGGGGCTGTGCCAGCAGCACCTCCAGCCAGCAAGGGCACGAGGTGATGAACTGCCTGGAGTAGCACGGCCCCCAGCCCTTCCCAAAGCTGATCCGGACGCTATGGGGGTCACAAGGCCCATCCCCATTCTGCCACCCCCCGGCCCCGATCCCCCCTGCCCTCTCGTAGTCGAACACCTTCACCGAATACCCTGGCAGCACTTTGAGCACGGCCAGCCCGTGGGCTCCAGGAGGGCCCAGGGTGGGCGAGCTGACAAAGATGGGATGCTCGCTTCGGTTGTACGCCCAGACGGCGCTCAGCTCCCGGCTCAGCAGCAGCCCCTTCCCAATCTTCCCCCTGGCGCGGCGCACGGCGCGGCTGCGGTGCATGGCGGGCAGTTGGCCCAGGCAGAACCCGCTGCCCCGCGGCAGCTCGCTGAAGACGTTCACCGACGCTTCGTGCACGTCGTAGAGGCGACCCACGCGTGTCCGGTGCTCCCAGTACGCCAGTTTGCACCAGCAGCCGTCCCGTGCCGCGCTCCGAGAGATGCTGGTGTCTGTTGGGAGACGTGACAGAATCACAGAGTCACGGCATGGCCTGGATTGGAAGGGACCTCAAGGGTGCCAAAGCTGCGACCCCACAGCGCCTGCAAAGCCACCGACCTGCCCACGTCTCACAGCAGCCCAGGCTGCCCAGGGCCCCATCCAGCCTGGCCTCCAAGCCCTCCAGGGATGGACGGGGCATCGCAGCCTCTCTGGGCAGCTGTTCAGCCCCTCACCGCTCTCCCAGCACACAACTTCCCTGAGCCCCAGCCTCCAGCTGCCCTCCCTCCGCTTCCAGCCCTTCCCTGCTCTCATCTCCCCTGCCCAAGAGCTGCCTCCCCTCCTGGCTGCAGGCTCCCTGCAGGCGCTGCAGGCTGCACTCAGCTCAGCCCCAGCTCCTCTTCTCCATGCTGAACGAGCCCAGCTCCCTCAGCCTGGCTTTGCAGGGAGCTGCTGCAGCCCCTGCTCAGCCCTGCGGCTCCTCTGGCTCCTCTCCCACAGCTCCCTGTCTCGTCTGGGAACCCCCAGCCCTGGACGCAGTGCTGCAGACGGGGCCTCAGAGAGCAGAGCACAGAGGGACGATCGCCTCCCTGGCCCTGCTGCCCCCCCTCTGCTGATGGCGCCCAGGATCCCCTTTGCTTTCCCAGCTGCAATCACACCCTGCTGGCTCCCGTTCAGCTTTTCACCCCTTGGGACCCCCAGGTCCTTCAGTGCAGGGCTGCTCTCAATGGCTGCTCCTTTCATTCTGCATCAATGCCTGGCATTCCTGCGGCCCAAGTGCCAAACCTGGCACTTTGCTGTGTTGAACCTCATCAGGCTCCCCCAGCCCCACCTTTCAGCCCCTCGAGGTCCCTCTGAATGGCAGATCATCACGGTGCTGCGTGGCTACACATGCCTACACCCAACCCTCTGCATACGGTGGTCCCAAGGGACGCACTGGGATGCCGGCACACGGGGGATTGGTGCCCGTGGGTCACACACGGAGCGCCCCATGGCTCTGCAGCCAGGATAGGGCGATAGCAGGAATCAATGAGCTGCTGAGCGGCGGCACGTATGCCCAGGGCAGCCCCCTGGGGGCCACATTGTGTGCCAAGGTTGGGTGGGGG